TCTCCGTCGGCATCAGCTTTTGGGGACTGGAGCCCGCTTCGTCGGCTGGGTGGAGCGGAGCCTCCGGAGAGATTTCCCGGTGCCCCTAAAGCCGCCGGGCTGCCGTCCACCGAAAAAGATGCCAAGATCGTCTTTTGTCTTTCATCTTAAAAGTACCCAAGGACTCTGATGTTTTTGATGCACAGATTTACGGGGCTGCCTCCGGGAAGGGGGAAGAGAGAGAGAGAGAGAGAGAGGACAGATTTACGGGGCTGCCTCCGGGAACGGGGAAGAGAGAGACAACTCTTAAGGAAGAATTCAGAAAATCTTGTCCGGAATCTTGCTCTTCTTGGAGGCGGGGAATTACTTGGTAGAGAACCATCATGCCAAATTTTGTGTGTGTATGTAGTGTGTGTGTGTGTAGTGTGTGTGTGTAATGAGTGACCTGATGAGGCCTTGGGGAGGGGGCGCAGGGAGAAAGCAACCTCACTATCTCTGCCAGGCAACGCCTTGGGAAGGAAACGATCCCAACAGGATATCTATGTTTCCTTTTTCTAAGCCGGTTAGAAGTGCAGCTGAGAGAGGCGTTCCCCCCATTGTGTGTGTGTGTGTGTAGGTGTAGGTAGGGGAGATCCGTGCAGGAGATACCCCAGCAAAACAACTGGGAAGAGAAAAGCACAGGGAGCTATGCCCGGATGCTGTGCAATAGATGTTCCCAAATATGGGGCAGTGAGAAGGGAGCAGGGGCAGGCTGTAGGGCCATGGACGTTCCTGAAGAGTGGGCACTGGCAGCACCTATGCCCCCTCCAAGCGCAAGGACGAGCTGTCTCTTCTTGATCTGCCGGTTCAGTTTTGTTGGCAAAGGCGTTTCGGCCTTTGTTCTTTCCATATGACCCTACTGTCTGGGACAGGAAAAAACTGGAAGAGAGGGGTGAGGAGAGTGGTGACTGCCTTTGGGAGCAAGTCTTTCCAATACTTTTGCAACAGGGAGCTTGTGTTACAGCAGTTTTATCCCTAGGCACATTTATTGGAAAGATGCCCTCTAGCAGGCATGCCCACATGGCAGCTGCATGTTCAAAGCTATTTATAGGTCCTTAAGGATTCCCCCCCCCCAAAAAAAATGCATGTCAGCCTCTGATTCCTCACAGTATGTAGAGATGGTATGACAGTTCTATCTGTGGTGCTTGATGGTGATGGTTGATACAACACTGGTGATGAGCAAGATCTTCTACTCCCCTTATGAGTAGAAAGTTGGCTGAAGAGCTCAGTGGTTTAGGCATCTTAACCAGAGATTAGAAGTTCAATTCCGTGCTGTGCCTCTTGCAAGCAGAGCTAGTCTGTGTGGCCTTGGGCAAGCTGCACAGTCCGGAGGCAACCCCCCCCCCACTAGAAGAATGGTAAACCACTTCTGAGTATTCTCTACCTAGAAAACCCCCCAAAAAGGGTAGCCATAAGTCAGAATTGACTTGACAGCATATGGTTTGAGAGCAGAAGCCTGGTTTAGGGTGCCAAGGGCTGGCAGAATAGAACACACAGATGTGCAAAACGGCTCTTGATGCTGCCAGCCAGCCTCAAGAGCCATTCATATGTGGAGTTCATGAAGCCAAACATGATTCTGAACATGGGCAGCACTTCCTGCCAATGTATATATTCACATGCTGCATGCACACACATACACATACTGTATGTACATGCACTGTGCACACACTGAGGAGGAAGATGACAATGTAGACTTTCTTGGTCCCTCTGCATTTCCTTCTCCCTGGGCTGGAGGAAAGGCAGGAGGGGTTAAAAGATTGGCACGGGTTTGCTGTCCCCTTGGACCGCGCAGTGTTTGAATGCAAATGGTTTACAAGACTGAAAAATATCCAGGCTTATCAGCTGTACAGTTGAGTTCAAGGGGGAAAGGTTTCTGAGGCATCATGACATGACTTTGGGCTAGTGTGGATTCCTGTTGCACTGTCATGGCTTCTTGTAAACTCATTGTGGGATGATTGCACTTATCCTTACAAGTGGCTGGTTAGAGGGCTGAGGCTCTGTATAACAGTGGCAAGTGTTCCTACACCATCAAAGCTGGAAGAGTGGGTCCAGCGGAAATGTCATGGGGCCGCATGATTCTCTGATAGAAATATCTAGGTTCCTGCCCAATTTTAAAGCTGCTCAATAGTGAGTGATAGAAGTACCCCAGAGATATAAATACCTAGAGTGAGCAAAGAGTGAACAGTCTCGAAAGCTGCAGAGTTCAGTGTCTCCTAATTAAGGGAGTAACATGAGGAAATCCGGGACTGTAGAGCACAGCTTTGAACCTGTGTTAGAACCTCTCTGGGGTGTGAAAATATCAAATGCTACATGTTGCATTACTGAAGCAGTTTGTAAAACAAGGTGCTTTTTATCTTTAATTTGGAGAGTGGAGGAACAACATAAGGGGTGAGAGAAAGGGAGGGCATATTGCACCACTATCTTGCCGAGTGTATTGTCTCAATTGTGGCAGCTTTTCTAAGAAATGATCTGGCAATGAGGGCTGGAAATGGTTCCCCTTTGTGTTGTTTTTCTCAAAATTGTCAGTGGAATTAGCGGGGAGGGGGAGGAGTTTAAGTTTTAATTGGTATAGTAGTTGCTTCCTGAAAACATGCTCTTTTCCTAAAAAGTAATTAAATATGATGTGCTGGAAGAATTTTCTGAAGAATCATTAATATCTAGGAACTGGCTGTCTACACATTCTTCTCCAGCTGGAGAAATAGTTTGTGAAATAGTCTGTAACTTAGATATCTTGACATGATGTGAAAAAGAGAATTAAACTATAAATGCTCCTTGTGACAGATTCTAGATTCTGGATAGATCTTGCAGTTCCCATGGTGCTCGTCTCCTAGATTGCATTGAATCTAGTACTTGCTGCCACAATCCATTGGGGTCCCTTTAATCTCTTATTTCACCTGCCAGCTTGCTATACTATTAGGTCGATTGCCATGTTCTTTCTGCATGAATGGTGAGTCCCACTCTAACCAGTAAAATAAGTGCAAGCAAAGTCCAGCTCTACAGCTACAACTGGACTGCAACTCCCATCTCCTTTCACCACTAGCTGTGCTGGCAGGGGATGATGGGAGATATAGTCCAGCAGCTTATGGAGGGCCACACTTTGGCATCTCCTACTGTTGTATTTACTTCTGATTAATGAGGCTGAGCTGTCAGCCTTTGTTTGTGACAACTTTTGGATAAGCTGTTTACTCACCATCTCATCCTAATTAGTACCATTCCTTGTGCAGTGTGCCACTTCATGATGTCTCTCTGGTCTGAGATTGAGAGAAAGAGAGACTGCACGAGAGAGAGAGAAAGTGACTGACATCATAATGCAGACTGAAACAAATGTTGGGCAATCATTGCAATTCATTGCAATCCTGTTGTGCAACTTTACACCACACAGTTTGGATTATGTTATCATGCATGAATGTGTGTGGGGGAATTGAAATTTTCCTCTCCCAGCTACCAGGTTCCAAGGATCTCTACAGACCACTTTCACCCTGGGGAAGACTTTGAGAGATGCAGAAATTTTATTACTTGAAAATTGCTGCTGCAGGTCTAGGACCTTTAGAGCCCCCCCCCATTCCACGGCCCCCAGTCTTCCTCAGGATGAAAAGGGTCATAGAGAACTGCAGAACCTGGGGGGCAATTGGAAACTTTAAATCCCCCCCATGGCAGTGTTGATGGTGTCATCCAAGCTGTGCAGCATTAAGCTGTGCAACAGGATTCTGGCTACTATGTGCAATCAAAATGTTATATCTATATAATCATAAGAAGAAAACACATAGAATGCTAAATTATACCAGGAAGGGTTTCATAAATAGATGTGTCTCAGTAAGTGCCTAAAAATAAAAATGGTCAGAGCATACCTAACCTCGAAGAAGAGGATTTCACACATTGAGCATCTCCATGATAAATGTGTCGCTCTGAACAACCAAGGAGTAGACCTAGGAGCATAGGAGTAGACCTAGTACTACCAGGAGGACCTCATCAGATGACCTGAATTTTGGGTATCATAAATCTTATTCATGTCCTAAAGTTTTCCTGCTTGCTAGAGAAAAGTAGCAAAAAGGCATAGTCAGGAGGACATAAATAATATAATAACATATTTTACATTAATAGCTGTTGGTTTTATGCTGTTC